ATAAATTAGCAAACATTTCTAATAATCTGTTATCGCTTTGTCATTATGGGGTACTGTGTGTAGATTGATGAGATACATTGCTCAAAAGAATAAAGGGAACACTAAAATAACACATCCTAGATCTGAATGAATGAAATAATCTTATTAAATACTTTTTTCTTTACATAGTTGAATGTGCTGACAACAAAATCACACAAAAACTATCAATGGAAATCTAATTTATCAACCCATGGAGGTCTGGATTTGGAGTCACCCTCAAAATTAAAAGTGGAAAACCACACTACAGGCGGATCCAACTTTGATGTAATGTCCTTAAAACAAGTCAAAATGAGGCTCAGTAGTGTGTGTGGCCTCCACGTGCCTGTATGACCTCCCTACAACGCCTGGGCATGCTCCTGATGAGGTGGCGGATGGTCTCCTGAGGGATCTCCTCCCAGACCTGGACTAAAGCATCCGCCAACTCCTGGACAGTCTGTGGTGCAACGTGGCGTTGGTGGATGGAGCGAGACATGATGTCCCAGATGTGCTCAATTGGATTCAGGTCTGGGGAACGGGCGGGCCAGTCCATAGCATCAATGCCTTCCTCTTGCAGGAACTGCTGACACACTCCAGCCACATGAGGTCTAGCATTGTCTTGCATTAGGAGGAACCCAGGGCCAACCGCACCAGCATATGGTCTCACAAGGGGTCTGAGGATCTCATCTCGGTACCTAATGGCAGTCAGGCTACCTCTGGCGAACACTTGGAGGGCTGTGCGGCCCCCCAAAGAAATGCCACCCCACACCATGACTGACCCACCGCCAAACCGGTCATGCTGGAGGATGTTGCAGGCAGCAGAACGTTCTCCACGGCGTCTCCAGACTCTGTCACGTCTGTCACATGTGCTCAGTGTGAACCTGCTTTCATCTGTGAAGAGCACAGGGCGCCAGTGGCGAATTTGCCAATCTTGGTGTTCTCTGGCAAATGCCAAAACGTCCTGCACGGTGTTGGGCTGTAAGCACAACCCCCACCTGTGGACGTCGGGCCCTCATACCACCCTCATAGAGTCTGTTTCTGACCGTTTGAGCAGACACATGCACATTTGTGACCTGCTGGAGGTCATTTTGCAGGGCTCTGGCAGTGCTCCTCCTGCTCCTCCTTGCACAAAGGCGGAGGTAGCAGTCCTGCTGCTTGGTTGTTGACCTCCTACGGCCTCCTCCACGTCTCCTGATGTACTGGCCTGTCTCCTGGTAGCGCCTCCATGCTCTGGACACTACGCTGACAGACACAGCAAACCTTCTTGCCACTGCTCGCATTGATGTGCCATCCTGGATGAGCTGCACTACCTGAGCCACTTGTGTGGGTTGTAGACTCCGTCTCATGCTACCACTAGAGTGAATGCACCGCCAGCATTCAAAAGTAACCAAAACATCAGCCAGGAAGCATAGGAACTGAGAAGTGGTCACCACCTGCAAAACCAGTCCTTTTTTGGGGGTGTCTTGCTAATTGCCTATAATTTCCACCTGTTGTCTATTCCATTTGCACAACAGCATGTGACATTTATTGTCAATCAGTGTTGCTTCCTAAGTGGACAGTTTGATTTCACAGAAGTGTGATTGACTTGGAGTTACATTGTGTTGTTTAAGTGTTCCCTTTATTTTTTTTGAGCAGTGTATATATATATATATTTTTTTTAATCCATTTTAGAATAAGGCTGTAACGTAACAAAATGTGGAAAAGGGGAAGAGGTCTAAATACTTTTCGAATGCACTCTATACAGCAGGAAGGGACATTGTGATCTCCCAGGATTCTCTACAGGATTTGTTAAGATGGTGGTGCCAGTGGAAGCTGCTGAGGGGAGGACGGCTCATAATAATGGCTGGAACGGAGCATTCCACTGATTCCGCTCCAGCCATTACCACGAGCCCGTCCTCCCCAACCCTTCCACTGATTCCGCTCCAGCCATTACCACGAGCCCGTCCTCCCCAACCATTCCACTGATTCCGCTCCAGCCATTACCACGAGCCCGTCCTCCCCAACCATTCCACTGATTCCGCTCCAGCCATTACCACGAGCCCGTCCTCCCCAACCCTTCCACTGATTCCGCTCCAGCCATTACCACGAGCCCGTCCTCCCCATTCCACTGATTCCGCTCCAGCCATTACCACGAGCCCGTCCTCCCCAATTAAGGTGACACCAACCTCCAGTGGCTGGTGCTGCCTCCAAATGATTTTTTCAGATGATGGTGCTGTCGATTACGGTTTGGACTCAGAGATTGTTGTGTTTTTGAACACCTGTAAATGCCATTTCCTTCAATCTAGAGCCAACAATACGATACATGATTTGTTATTTCCATAGTGGCACAGCCAGTCCACAAGGTGGCGCAGCGCCCCCCTTACATTCTCTGGGGAGAACCCTTGTCTCCCATACAGCTATACACCAGGGACAGTGTGGTCTGTCATACAGCTATACACCAGGGACAGTGTGGTCTGTCATACAGCTATACACCAGGGACTGTGTGGTCTGTCATACAGCTATACACCAGGGACTGTGTGGTCTGTCATACAGCTATACACCAGGGACTGTGTGGTCTGTCATACAGCTATACACCAGGGACTGTGTGGTCTCCTATACAGCTATACACCAGGGACTGTGTGGTCTCCCATACAGCTATACACCAGGGACTGTGTGTGGTAATGTGCTCAAGCTGTAATGTTGTTTTCTCAGATGGAGAGGATGAATAGACTGAAACACCTAGCTAGATAACCACTGAAAACAGACAAAACACCTAGCTAGATAACCACTGAAAACAGACAAAACACCTAGCTAGATAACCACTGAAAACAGACAAAACACCTAGCTAGATAACCACTGAAAACAGACAAAACACCTAGCTAGATAACCACTGAAAACAGACAAAACACCTAGCTAGATAACCACTGAAAACACCTAGCTAGAAAAACACCTAGCTAGATAACCACTGAAAACACCTAGCTAGATAACCACTGAAAACACCTAGCTAGAAAAACACCTAGCTAGATAACCACTGAAAACACCTAGCTAGATAACCACTGAAAACACCTAGCTAGAAAAACACCTAGCTAGAAAAACACCTAGCTAGAAAAACACCTAGCTAGATAACCACTGAAAACACCTAGCTGGATAACCACTGAAAACACCTAGCTGGATAACCACTGAAAACACCTAGCTGGATAACCACTGAAAACACCTAGCTGGATAACCACTGAAAACACCTAGCTAGATAACCACTGAAAACACCTAGCTAGATAACCACTGAAAACACCTAGCTAGATAACCACTGAAAACACCTAGCTAGATAACCACTGAAAACACCTAGCTAGATAACCACTGAAAACACCTAGCTAGATAACCACTGACAACACCTAGCTAGATAACCACTGAAAACTCCTATTAGCCACTTTCAATGCAACATACCGAAACAAAACAAACTATGCGAGACTTGGCATGCAAAACTAAATATGCAAGAGATTTTGTTGTAGGCAGAGCGCATCAGAGTAGGATTCTATTGCATTGAGATGCACGACTCAGACAGTCTACAGACCAATCAGAGCTGCAGTAGGCCTATATGCAAATAGACTATTGCCATATATGGATCTGTGCCATTACAGCATGAGCGGTCGTGAGTAGATGAGCTTGTTTTGTAATCAAAGCGAGAGCTGCATGTAACCACCTGTGCCATTTGTTCACATCCTTTGCTAGTTAGTGAGTTATTAGCCCAGTTATAGATCATGTGTTCATATCCTTAGCTAGTTAGTGAGTTATTAGCCCAGTTATAGATCATTTGTAGTCAGCAATAGGAGAGTGTTTGCTTCCTACAAGAGCACAAAACATGTACATTTCTAGAAATCTTTGAAAAGTGAGTCGGGTAAAGAGCTTTTTTTTGTCTTAAAGGGGCAGTGTTGTATTTTGAGACAGGCTTGAATAAGTTAAGTAGCCAATAGGCAGAGGGTAGCATAATTTGTCTGATTCTCTGTAATAATGGTATGGGAATAATAATGCATTTTATTTTGTAAAGTGGTTTCTTGCATCAAACAACACAATATTTTCAGTCACCTCCTTGTCTGAAGGACAAGTGGATAAACAGGTTAATGTCAATAGTTTTTTCTAAAGTCTCATGGAATGTAGCCCTACATTGAACACCACCCATTGGCTGCTACTGTAGGCTGAATGACAGAACAGCTATTTCCATGTTAAAATGTTATGGGATGCATTTTCTCCATAGTTTTTGATGGTAGGCCACTCTGGTAGGCCTACATTATGATCAAATAGCCACAGTAGCCTACTTGGCCACTTAAAACTAACTTAAAGCATTTTCACAGTAAACGCATGCTAGCAGTGGCACAGAATTTTCACAACATTCAAGTTTGCGCTCAGCAGACCTGAAATTTGCGCAGTGACAGAACAATTTAGAAGGAACATTGGTTGTGGGGTTCTAAATTGCTGGGATGGGGCTGAGGTTTAGATCAGAGGGTTATACATGTGGTTTAGATCAGAGGGTTATATACCTGGGAGCTGGGATGGGGCTGATATACATGTGGTTTAGATCAGAGGGTTATATACCTGGGAGCTGGGATGGGGCTGATATACATGTGGTTTAGATCAGAGGGTTATATACCTGGGAGCTGGGATGGGGCTGATATACATGTGGTTTAGATCAGAGGGTTATATACCTGGGAGCTGGGATGGGGCTGATATACATGTGGTTTAGATCAGAGGGTTATATACCTGGGAGCTGGGATGGGGCTGATATACATGTGGTTTAGTTCAGAGGGTTATATACCTGGGAGCTGGGATGGGGCTGATATACATGTGGTTTAGATCAGAGGGTTATATACCTGGGAGCTGGGATGGGGCTGATATACATGTGGTTTAGATCAGAGGGTTATATACCTGGGAGCTGGGATGGGGCTGATATACATGTGGTTTAGTTCAGAGGGTTATATCCCTGGGAGCTGGGATGGGGCTGATATACATGTGGTTTAGATCAGAGGGTTATATACCTGGGAGCTGAGCTGGGTCTTGATCCAGTTGAAGTAGTAGTTGAGGTCACTTCCCTCCATCAGGTCACGACCCCAGGCTGCTAGCTTAGCGATGATCCTGGCCGCCTGGGAGAAAGGAGAGACTACAAGTCAGACCCTAAAGCCCAGCCTGAGCCAGCTCAATATTAAAGTCACTCACTATTCAATGCTGATGGTATGGCTTATTGTTCAAATTCCATTTCCACAGTCATGTTAATGCAGCAGACATTCCACTATCTATGAAGTGCATCTCTCCTCTCCCAGAGAGAGCTAGAGATCAAAAGAATCCTTCCATTTCTAATATTTTACAACAAAAGGCCACAATAAATATGGAAATCCAAACTATATGCAAATAACCTTCTGGTCATTGTGAATACATCATAAGACATCTGCTTTGAATAGTCTAGCTGTCCTCTTCTTTTCAGTCTCTCCCCCTCAACTCCCTCAGAGTACCAGAAACTATTACGAAAACTCACTAAATAAAAGAAGAAGTAAAAAAATAACAAACACATCACCCCACTCCGGACACCTAAATACCTTACACATCCGTAACAAGAAAAAACCCAGACTAAACGCCCTGAGAACAATCACCATAAACACTAACAACAAAAACTAAAAATACCTCATCAGACACTCCCACGCCATCCTCTCTACACTAGACAATGCGCTACTCCCTCGAGCCTGTGCCTATCCCTCAACCTCTCTCTAACCTACTCCTCGCTCCTCTCTCCTCCTACCCTCTCTCCTCTACCTCCCTCTCCCCCTACTCCACTCTCTCCCTCTACTCCTCTTCTATCTCCTCCCATCTCCCCTTCCTCTCCTCTCTCTCCTCTCTCCTCTCTCCTCTCTCTCTCCTCATGCTTCTCTCCTCTCATCCTTCTCTCTCCGTCCTCTCATCTCTTCCTCTCTTCCTCAGTGCTAACTGTAGGTTAGTGTATGGCGTAGTCATACTAACCATGTGGACGGTGAACAGGTCCTGGCGGTTGAGCATGGGCAGAAAGTAGGACCAGGCGGTGTTCTTGGTCTTTTTGGAGTAGTCGAAAAAGATGTTCACCCTCTGGTGATTCTCCTACAGAAATACAACATAACTCTGTTTTAACCTTGAGTGGTTCTAAAGGAACAGGCAAAGGAACATTAACCCTTTACACTCGTACCCATATACGGGTTGAAAATGGCAGATTTGGACACTGATTGGTACGAGTGGCTGTACAGTAACATGCTATACAAGATGTCAGAGCTCAGGGTCTCCACTTCACAGCTCTGTATGGGTTTCGACTGACAGCCGTTCTGAACTCCAGCACCGCGCGCAACAACATGTTGCCCCCACCCCTCCCGCTAATTAGGCAATTTTTGCATATTTTTTTGTTGTCTGAGGTTAATGCTGTAAATTAAGAGGTCTCAATGTATTTTGAAAGTTGAGACGTTGAGGATCATAAATCATGTCACAGAAACAAGCCAAAAACACACGCGAGTCCAAATGTGCACTTCACATTTCCATATCATAAAACTGTCATATACAATGTCAAAATGTATGATCACCATTTTTGATGTAGTTACAAGCTGACATGCGTTATACCCTGGGTTGTCCTGAACAGAACGAGCCTGTTCCAAGATGACATGGCGTTATACCCTGGGTTGTCCTGAACAGAACGAGCCTGTTCCAAGATGACATGGCGTTATTCCCTGGGTTGTCCTGAACAGAACGAGCCTGTTCCAAGATGACATGGCGTTATACCCTGGGTTGTCCTGAACAGAACGAGCCTGTTCCAAGATGACATGGCGTTATACCCTGGGTTGTCCTCAACAGAACGAGCCTGTTCCAAGATGCCTTGGCGTTATTCCCTGGGTTGTCCTGAACAGAACGAGCCTGTTCCAAGATGACATGGCGTTATTCCCTGGGTTGTCCTGAACAGAACGCGCCTGTTACAAGATGACATGGCGTTATACCCTGGGTTGTCCTGAACAGAACGAGCCTGTTCCAAGATGACATGGCGTTATTCCCTGGGTTGTCCTGAACAGAACGAGCCTGTTCCAAGATGACATGGCGTTATTCCCTGGGTTGTCCTGAACAGAACGAGCCTGTTCCAAGATGACATGGCGTTATTCCCTGGGTTGTCCTGAACAGAACGAGCCTGTTCCAAGATGACATGGCGTTATACCCTGGGTTGTCCTGAACAGAACGAGCCTGTTCCAAGATGACATGGCGTTATACCCTGGGTTGTCCTCAACAGAACGAGCCTGTTCCAAGATGCCTTGGCGTTATTCCCTGGGTTGTCCTGAACAGAACGAGCCTGTTCCAAGATGACATGGTGTTATTCCCTGGGTTGTCCTGAACAGAACGAGCCTGTTACAAGATGACATGGCGTTATTCCCTGGGTTGTCCTGAACAGAATGAGCCTGTTCCAAGATGACATGGCGTTATTCCCTGGGTTGTCCTCAACAGAACGAGCCTGTTCCAAGATACCTTGGCGTTATTCCCTGGGTTGTCCTGAACAGAACGAGCCTGTTCCAAGATGACATGGCGTTATTCCCTGGGTTGTCCTGAACAGAACGAGCCTGTTCCAAGATGACATGGCGTTATTCCCTGGGTTGTCCTGAACAGAACGAGCCTGTTCCAAGATGACATGGCGTTATACCCTGGGTTGTCCTGAACAGAACGAGCCTGTTCCAAGATGACATGGCGTTATTCCCTGGGTTGTCCTGAACAGAACGAGCCTGTTCCAAGATGACATGGCGTTATACCCTGGGTTGTCCTGAACAGAACGAGCCTGTTCCAAGATGACATGGCGTTATACCCTGGGTTGTCCTCAACAGAACGAGCCTGTTCCAAGATGCCTTGGCGTTATACCCTGGGTTGTCCTGAACAGAACGAGCCTGTTCCAAGATGACATGGCGTTATTCCCTGGGTTGTCCTGAACAGAACGAGCCTGTTCCAAGATGACATGGCGTTATTCCCTGGGTTGTCCTGAACAGAACGAGCCTGTTCCAAGATGACATGGCGTTATTCCCTGGGTTGTCCTGAACAGAACGAGCCTGTTCCAAGATGACATGGCGTTATACCCTGGGTTGTCCTGAACAGAACGAGCCTGTTCCAAGATGACATGGCGTTATACCCTGGGTTGTCCTCAACAGAACGAGCCTGTTCCAAGATGCCTTGGCGTTATTCCCTGGGTTGTCCTGAACAGAACGAGCCTGTTCCAAGATGACATGGCGTTATTCCCTGGGTTGTCCTGAACAGAACGCGCCTGTTACAAGATGACATGGCGTTATACCCTGGGTTGTCCTGAACAGAACGAGCCTGTTCCAAGATGACATGGCGTTATTCCCTGGGTTGTCCTGAACAGAACGAGCCTGTTCCAAGATGACATGGCGTTATTCCCTGGGTTGTCCTGAACAGAACGAGCCTGTTCCAAGATGACATGGCGTTATTCCCTGGGTTGTCCTGAACAGAACGAGCCTGTTCCAAGATGACATGGCGTTATTCCCTGGGTTGTCCTGAACAGAACGAGCCTGTTCCAAGATGACATGGCGTTATACCCTGGGTTGTCCTGAACAGAACGAGCCTGTTCCAAGATGACATGGCGTTATTCCCTGGGTTGTCCTGAACAGAACGAGCCTGTTCCAAGATGACATGGCGTTATTCCCTGGGTTGTCCTGAACAGAACGAGCCTGTTCCAAGATGACATGGCGTTATTCCCTGGGTTGTCCTGAACAGAACGAGCCTGTTCCAAGATGACATGGCGTTATTCCCTGGGTTGTCCTGAACAGAACGAGCCTGTTCCAAGATGACATGGCGTTATTCCCTGGGTTGTCCTGAACAGAACGAGCCTGTTCCAAGATGACATGGCGTTATTCCCTGGGTTGTCCTGAACAGAACGAGCCTGTTCCAAGATGACATGGCGTTATTCCCTGGGTTGTCCTGAACAGAACGAGCCTGTTCCAAGATGACATGGCGTTATTCCCTGGGTTGTCCTGAACAGAACGAGCCTGTTCCAAGATGACATGGCGTTATTCCCTGGGTTGTCCTGAACAGAACGAGCCTGTTCCAAGATGACATGGCGTTATTCCCTGGGTTGTCCTGAACAGAACGAGCCTGTTCCAAGATGACATGGCGTTATTCCCTGGGTTGTCCTGAACAGAACGAGCCTGTTCCAAGATGACATGGCGTTATTCCCTGGGTTGTCCTGAACAGAACGAGCCTGTTCCAAGATGACATGGCGTTATACCCTGGGTTGTCCTGAACAGAACGAGCCTGTTCCAAGATGACATGGCGTTATTCCCTGGGTTGTCCTCAACAGAACGAGCCTGTTCCAAGATGACATGGCGTTATTCCCTGGGTTGTCCTGAACAGAACGAGCCTGTTCCAAGATGACATGGCGTTATTCCCTGGGTTGTCCTGAACAGAACGAGCCTGTTCCAAGATGACATGGCGTTATTCCCTGGGTTGTCCTGAACAGAACGAGCCTGTTCCAAGATGACATGGCGTTATTCCCTGGGTTGTCCTGAACAGAACGAGCCTGTTCCAAGATGACATGGCGTTATTCCCTGGGTTGTCCTGAACAGAACGCGCCTGTTACAAGATGACATGGCGTTATACCCTGGGTTGTCCTGAACAGAACGAGCCTGTTCCAAGATGACATGGCGTTATTCCCTGGGTTGTCCTGAACAGAACGAGCCTGTTCCAAGATGACATGGCGTTATTCCCTGGGTTGTCCTGAACAGAACGAGCCTGTTCCAAGATGACATGGCGTTATACCCTGGGTTGTCCTGAACAGAACGAGCCTGTTCCAAGATGACATGGCGTTATACCCTGGGTTGTCCTGAACAGAACGAGCCTGTTCCAAGATGACATGGCGTTATACCCTGGGTTGTCCTCAACAGAACGAGCCTGTTCCAAGATGCCTTGGCGTTATTCCCTGGGTTGTCCTGAACAGAACGAGCCTGTTCCAAGATGACATGGCGTTATTCCCTGGGTTGTCCTGAACAGAACGCGCCTGTTACAAGATGACATGGCGTTATACCCTGGGTTGTCCTGAACAGAACGAGCCTGTTCCAAGATGACATGGCGTTATTCCCTGGGTTGTCCTGAACAGAACGAGCCTGTTCCAAGATGACATGGCGTTATTCCCTGGGTTGTCCTGAACAGAACGAGCCTGTTCCAAGATGACATGGCGTTATTCCCTGGGTTGTCCTGAACAGAACGAGCCTGTTCCAAGATGACATGGCGTTATACCCTGGGTTGTCCTGAACAGAACGAGCCTGTTCCAAGATGACATGGCGTTATACCCTGGGTTGTCCTCAACAGAACGAGCCTGTTCCAAGATGCCTTGGCGTTATTCCCTGGGTTGTCCTGAACAGAACGAGCCTGTTTCCAAGATGACATGGCGTTATTCCCTGGGTTGTCCTGAACAGAATGTGCCTGTTACAAGATGACATGGCGTTATACCCTGGGTTGTCCTGAACAGAACGAGCCTGTTCCAAGATGACATGGCGTTATTCCCTGGGTTGTCCTGAACAGAACGAGCCTGTTCCAAGATGACATGGCGTTATTCCCTGGGTTGTCCTGAACAGAACGAGCCTGTTCCAAGATGACATGGCGTTATTCCCTGGGTTGTCCTGAACAGAACGAGCCTGTTCCAAGATGACATGGCGTTATTCCCTGGGTTGTCCTGAACAGAACGAGCCTGTTCCAAGATGACATGGCGTTATACCCTGGGTTGTCCTGAACAGAACGAGCCTGTTCCAAGATGACATGGCGTTATTCCCTGGGTTGTCCTGAACAGAACGAGCCTGTTCCAAGATGACATGGCGTTATTCCCTGGGTTGTCCTGAACAGAACGAGCCTGTTCCAAGATGACATGGCGTTATTCCCTGGGTTGTCCTGAACAGAACGAGCCTGTCCAAGATGACATGGCGTTATTCCCTGGGTTGTCCTGAAACAGAACGAGCCTGTTCCAAGATGACATGGCGTTATTCCCTGGGGTTTGTCCTGACAGAACGAGCCTGTTCCAAGATGACCATGGCGTTATTCCCTGGGTTGTCATTGAACAGAACGAGCCTCGTTCCAAGATGACATTGCGTTATTCCCTGGGTTTGTCCATGAACCGAACGAAGCCTGTTCCAAGATGGACATGGCGTTATTCCCTGGTTGTCCTGAACAGAACGAAGGCCTGTTCCAAGATGACATGGCGTTATTCCCTCGTAAACAGCAGTACTGTGATGCTGGGGATGCAGGGTGTGTTCCAAACAAACTACTACCACTAAGTGGGTTCTCTGAGCTCCTCACTGAAAAGTAACAGCTTCAAAAATGACATCTTATGTTACCTCTCTTTGAGTCATAAAAGTGCATTGAAATGACTTAGGAACTGTCGCGGGCCAACTTGGAGACCTTCACTCACACCCTGTCAGTTTGTCTTATGTTGCACAAACCCCCATTTTCAAAGAATGTATTCAATCATGGTTGGAATGTATTACGAGTTTTTGACATTTCGTTATCAACGAGATGTGGTGAAAAGTACAGAACTGTAAGATGCACATGAGTATCCACGGGTATGTCTGAACTCAGACCTGTTCAAGTGTCTGTTGGGTGTCCTAAAAACGTTTTCCAATACATTTTCCCTGGATCTCCAAACGGGTTCATGAATATGGCTTTCCTGTTTGTCTGTAAGAAACTTTCAATTTAATGTATTCATGGCCAATTGGTAACAGAACGAGCCTGTTCCAAGATGACATGGCGTTATTCCCTGGGTTGTCTTGAACAAAACGAGCCTGTTTGTTGTATTGTGAAGACAAGGTGCCGCGGACCACACATTTGAATGCACTCCACTCCATTCTATGAGCACCAAAATTACCATCTGCTTCTCTGAATTGCCTTGAAGGCCTAATACTAGAAGATTGTATTTATAATTTAGCTAGTCATGTTGGCAATAGAACAAGCCCTCAAATGACGTCCACCTGACGCAGATTGCGATTTATAATGGAGTGTTTTTGGATTGCGTAAACAGCAGTAACTGTGATGGCGGGGATGCAGGGCTGTGTTCCAAACTAAACTACTACACTAAGTGTGCTTCCTCTAGCTCCTCAACTGAAAAGTTAACAGCTCAAAAATGCATCTTATAGTTGACCTCTTCTTTGAGTCATAAAAGTGCATTGAAATGACTTAGGAACTGTGCGGCCACTTGGAGACCTCTCACTCAAACCCTTGTCAGTTTGTCTTATGTTGCACAAACCCCACATTTTTAAAGAATATTCTAATCATGTTACTGGATGTATTCAGAGTATTTTGAGATTTCGTTATCAACAAATGTGGTGAAAAGTACAGTAAATGTAAAATGCACATCAAATCCACAGTGTAATGTTGGAACTCAGACTTGTGTCAGCTGGTCTGTTGTGTCCTAAACTTTATCTAATACATTTTCCCATAATCTCCAAACTGGTTATGAATATGCTTTCCATATTTCTTCTGTAAGAAACATTTCAATTTAACTGTATTCATATAGGCCAATTCCCACGAGTGTAAAGGGTTAACAGAACTCTGATGGTTCTCCTACATAGAGGTCTTCACGGATCCACCTGTACCAGAACAACCGAGACCTGATCCATGACCCGAGTGGGTCTGGATCCAAAATTCTAAATAAATGTCACAGGTCTGGGTCGGATCTGACTGTCACAGGTATGTGTAATTTGAACTGACTTGTCCAGAAGGGCCCGTACAGATCCTAACAGAGTGCTGCAGTAGAGAGAGATGTTAGCATTTATGCTGCTGCTGTTGCTTTTCATGAGTGGAGCGTGTAGCTTGTTGTTGGACAATCATGAGTCATCAAAGCTGCAGCAGACTCCAGTTATAGAGCCTCTGTGTGGTAAAAGTTAACAGATCTCTAATCAATGGAAGTTAAAGGAGAAGGACAGGCTACAATGACCAAGAGACAACAGGTAGGCTGCTACTTCATATTCTGAATGGAGATGTTATTGGTAACTGTTGGATGAGAAAGCACATGCACTGTAGCCTCAGTTAGCCTCGCTAGCTAACGTTAGCTAGCTTACCTAGCTTCTCTCGGTTTGATGCAGTCAAGACACGTACTATGTAATCATATTGGATGGTAAATAACCTAGCTATGGCAGCTGTTAGTCTACTGTAGTGGGAGTCTGCATGGTTGGTTGCTGTCTCTCCCTCTCTCCTCCCCATGTCGCTCGCTCAGAGTACGGCCCCTCCCCCTCCTCTCGCACGTTGTCATCTCCGGTTAATAAAGTAGCTTAAAAAAATAAATTTTCTGCTGATTCCCACACTCAGATCGGGTCTGGATCAGACCAGGTCTATACGGAATGGGTCTAGTCGTCCTCGGGTCCATTCGGAACGGGTCTCTATGTTTTAAACTTTTTGGACCTGTGAAGACCTCGACTCCTACATTCACATCCCCAGACAAAAGCGAAAAACTTAACAGTAAAAACAGATGATTCAGAAAAGGTTGCTATGGTATCTTTGCATCTCTAGGTAAGCGTGAACACGCGTGTTACCTGTAGTGTGTGTTACCTGTAGTGTGTGTTACCTGTAGTGTGTGTGTGTGTGTGTGTGTGTGTGTGTTACCTGCAGGGTATCATCTATTAGAGTGAGAATGTACTGGACAGTCTGCTCCTTAGAGATATGAGCCATCAGGTTCAGGAACGTCTTGGCACACTGGAAATACACACACAATATACATGTTACTAAAACTATACAGACACACACTAGGCGATGTCAACCTTGGTCCTATGGTGATTATGAACCGATAAAAAACATTGTGATATACGATTGTATCGGCCACTATTTGCCCACAAAAATGTGGTTGAAGAAAAACAAATACACACTGAACAAAAACAAACAACATGTAAAGTGTTGGTCCCATGTTTCATGAGCTGAAATAAAAGATCCCAGAAAGGTTCCATATGCACAAAATGCTTATTTCTTGCTAATTTTGTGCACAAATTTGTTTACATCCCTGTTAGTGAGCATTTCTTCTTTGCCAAGATAATCCATCCACTTGACAGGTGGCATATCAAGAAGCTGATTAAACAGCATGATCATTACACAGGTGCACCTTGTGCTGGGGACAATAAAAGGCCACTAAAATGTGCAGCTTTGTCCCACAACACAACGCCACAGATGTCTCAAGTTGAGGGAGCGTGCATTTGGCATGCTGACTGCAGGAATGTCCACCAGAGCTGTTGCCAGATAATTTTATGTTAATATAAGCCACCTCCAACGTCATTTTTGAGAATTTGGCAGTACATCCAACCAGCCTTACAACCGTAGACCACGTGTAACCACGACAGCTCAGGACCTCCACATCCGGCTTCTTCACCTGCGGGATCGTCTGAGACCAGCCACCCGGACAGCTGATGAAACTGAGGAGTATTTGTCATTAATAAAGCCCTTTTGTGGGGGGAATTTTTTTTCTGATTGGGCCCACCCATGGCTGCGCCCCTGCCCCTTACCCTTGTAGCCTAGGCCAGTGGTTCACAACCTTTTTTTAACCGTGGCAAACCTTGATGCTATACAAATCTGCCGCACACCTAACATTTCCCTATTAATTAATGTGGTAATGACCTCCATCTGATCCATACTGCAAATCATCCATTTTCTGTCACAGTTTTTATAGATTACATAGGGTTTAATTGAAAATGTATGCACTCACTAACTGTAAATCGCTCTGGATAAGAGCGTCTGCTAAATGACTAAAATGTAAAATGTATGTAGAAGAACCCATTACCTTCTAACGACTCACTATTATAGACTGTCCTGGGATTTCCTATGATCTTCTATGTAGAAGAACCCCTTACAGTATTATAGACACCATGTCCTGGGATTTCCTATGATCTACTATGTAGAAGAACCCCTTACAGTATTATAGACACTATGTCCTGGGATTTCCTATGATCTTCTATGTAGAAGAACCCCTTACAGTATTATAGACACCATGTCCTGGGATTTCCTATGATCTACTATGTAGAAGAACCCCTTACAGTATTATAGACACCATGTCCTGGGATTTCCTATGATCTACTATGTAGAAGAACCCCTTACAGTATTATAGACACTATGTCCTGGGATTTCCTATGATCTTCTATGTAGAAGAACCCCTTACAGTATTATAGACACCATGTCCTGGGATTTCCTATGATCTACTATGTAGAAGAACCCCTTACAGTATTATAGACACTATGTCCTGGGATTTCCTATGATCTTCTATGTAGAAGAACCCCTTACAGTATTATAGACACTATGTCCTGGGATTTCCTATGATCTTCTATGTAGAAGAACCCCTTACAGTATTATAGACACTATGTCCTGGGATTTCCTATGATCTTCTATGTAGAAGAACCCCTTACAGTATTATAGACACTATGTCCTGGGATTTCCTATGATCTTCTATGTAGAAGAACCCCTTACAGTATTATAGACACCATGTCCTGGGATTTCCTATGATCTACTATGTAGAAGAACCCCTTACAGTATTATAGACACTATGTCCTGGGATTTCCTATGATCTTCTATGTAGAAGAACCCCTTACAGTATTATAGACACTATGTCCTGGGATTTCCTATGATCTACTATGTAGAAGAACCCCTTACAGTATTATAGACACTATGTCCTGGGATTTCCTATGATCTTCTATGTAGAAGAACCCCTTACAGTATTATAGACACCATGTCCTGGGATTTCCTATGATCTACTATGTAGAAGAACCCCTTACAGTATTATAGACACTATGTCCTGGGATTTCCTATGATCTTCTATGTAGAAGAACCCCTTACAGTATTATAGACACTATGTCCTGGGATTTCCTATGATCTTCTATGTAGAAGAACCCCTTACAGTATTATAGACACTATGTCCTGGGATTTCCTATGATCTACTATGTAGAAGAACCCCTTACAGTATTATAGACACTATGTCCTGGGATTTCCTATGATCTACTATGTAGAAGAACCCCTTACAGTATTATAGACACTATGTCCTGGGATTTCCTATGATCTTCTATGTAGAAGAACCCCTTACAGTATTATAGACACTATGTCCTGGGATTTCCTATGATCTTCTATGTAGAAGAACCCCTTACAGTATTATAGACACTATGTCCTGGGATTTCCTATGATCTACTATGTAGAAGAACCCCTTACAGTATTATAGACACTATGTCCTGGGATTTCCTATGATCTACTATGTAGAAGAACCCCTTACAGTATTATAGACACTATGTCCTGGGATTTCCTATGATCTTCGATGTAGAAGAACCCCTTACAGTATTATAGACACTATGTCCTGGGATTTCCTATGATCTTCTATGTAGAAGAACCCCTTACAGTATTATAGACACTATGTCCTGGGATTTCCTATGATCTACTATGTAGAAGAACCCCTTACAGTATTATAGACACTATGTCCTGGGATTTCCTATGATCTACTATGTAGAAGAACCCCTTACAGTATTATAGACACTATGTCCTGGGATTTCCTATGATCTTCTATGTAGAAGAACCCCTTACAGTATTATAGACACTATGTCCTGGGATTTCCTATGATCTTCTATGTAGAAGAACCCCTTACAGTATTATAGACACTATGTCCTGGGATTTCCTATGATCTACTATGTAGAAGAACCCCTTACAGTATTATAGACACTATGTCCTGGGATTTCCTATGATCTTCTATGTAGAAGAACCCTTTACCTTCTAACGACTCTTGTGTATCTATAACTCGTTTGGAGTCCACCTGTGGTAAATTCAATTGATTGGACATGATTTGGAAAGACACACACCTGTCTATATAAGGTCCCACAGTTGACAGTGCATGTCAGAGCAAAAACCAAGCCATGAGGTCGAAGGAATTGTCCGTAGATCTGGGGAGGGGTACCAAAACATGTCTGCAGCATTGAAGGTCCCTGGAAGGTTGGTGGCCAGCTCTAGGAAGAGTCTTGGTGGTTCCAAACTGCTTCCATTTAAGAATGATGGAGGCCACTGTGTTCTTGGGGACCTTCAATGCTGCAGACATGTTTTGGTACCCTCCCCAGATCTACAGACAATTCCTTCGACCTCATGGCTTGGCTTTTGCAGGTGGACTCCAATGGAAACAGGATGCACCTGAGCACAATTTCGAGTCTCATAGCAAAGGGTCTGAATACTTTGAATATAATACATTTGAAAAATGTCTAAAAACCTTCCCCCCCCCCCCTTCTCATTATAGTGTAGATTGCTGAGGAAAAACATCAGGATAAGGCTATAATGTAACAAAATGTGGAAAACGTTGAGGGGTCTGAATACTTTCTGAATGCACTGTATACACACACACACTGTATACACACACACACACACACACAAACACACACTATATACACACACACTGAAACAAGACACCACTGACAAAATGTACATGAAGACAGCACACAAGGAATCCTTGTGAAAACGTCATGCATTAAATGAAGACCGGCTAATCTGAAACCCCATCTTGGAGGATATGCACGTACCAGTAAAATGTAGCTACAGAGGAGATTCCCCATTACAGGATAGGTACGTTTTGACATAGCAAAGATCATTCACGACCAACCATAACTTGCCGATACGATATTCGTTCTCGATTCAGCCAAACATGTATGTTATAAAACGTGGTTCATTAGACCTTAGAAAATGCTACATTCTAATGTTAATGTTCGCTCCATGATGTACTCCAACAACAACAACAACAACATCTTGTCTATTTTCTCATTGATTCAGACAGGTGGGTCCACCTCAGTGGTGCATGTCATGGTACACCTGTCTTTGTTTAATAGCACCCCTTGTGTGCACTTCCTGTACTACCGTATATCCCCGTGGTATGGTACAGAATATATCCCCGTGGTATGGTACAGAATATAATCCCGTGGTATGGTACAGAATATAATCCCGTGGTATGGTACAGAATATATCCCCGTGGTATGGTACAGAATATATCCCCGTGGTATGGTACAGAATATATCCCCGTGGTATGGTACAGAATATATCCCCGTGGTATGGTACAGAATATATCCCCGTGGTATGGTACAGAATATATCCCCGTGGTATGGTACAGAATATAATCCCGTGGTATGGTACAGAATATAATCCCGTGGTATGGTACAGAAAAGGTATGACTGGATGAAAATCTGGATACCGCCCAACCCTAGTAATAGGGAATCACATCAGCCCGTTACAAATCTGAAGCTACATTAAATGCAGCAACAGCTAGCGGGTTTATTGTGTGTGTGTGTGTGTGTGTGTGTGTGTATGTACGTGGTGTACACGTGCGTTGTACCTGATGTCCTTCGTTGGTGAGGATGGTCTGTTTTTCCTCACAGTGAGCCACTTCAAACTTCTTAATGAACTCGCAGTCCTCGGCAGAGATCATCTGACCCCTATGAGACAAGGCACACACAGCATGATTATTACCACAGTCTTGGGGAAGCTACTCTGAAAATAGGGTTTAAAAAGCTATAAATTAATTCACACTGGAAGAAGTTAAGCTACACTAAAGCTACCCTTAATTATTATTTTTATTTTTTAAGTACTTTGGAAAAGAAGTTCACTAAATTCAAACTACTTTGTGATAAATTATCATATCCAAATCTAAAAAGTCAGACTTAAAATTGCAAGAACAGATCACTTTGGGGTCATATGTTAACAAAATGTGTAATTTAGCCTTTTAAAAACACAACAACGTTCAAGTAAGAAGTAAAGTCTGATGCAGAAAGAGAATAGGACATTCTGCCTACTTCCCCCATGTCACTGGGCAGTTCCAGTAGCCACCTACTCCGCTGCACGTTAAGACGTCTGTATTCACACAGAAACCCACGAGACCTGCAGGCCCGACAGAGCACGGGAATCCCACGAGTCCTGCAGGCCCGACACAGCAGGGGAATCCAGCGAGACCCCGACACAGCAGGGGAATCCAGCGAGACCCCGACACAGCAGGGGAATCCAGCGAGACCCCGACACAGCAGGGGAATCCCACGAGACCCCGACACAGCAGGGGAATCCAGCGAGACCCCGACACAACAGGGGAATCCAGCGAGACCCCGACACAGCAGGGGAATCCAGCGAGACCCCGACACAGCAGGGGAATCCAGCGAGACCCCGACACAGCAGGGGAATCCAGCGAGACCCCGACACAGCAGGGGAATCCAGCGAGACCCCGACACAGCAGGGGAATCCAGCGAGACCCCGACACAGCATTGCGGCACAGTCAGCATTTTTCATTTTGCGGGCGGGGAGGTCAGACAGACAGCTTTGGAATTTAAATATTTCTTGCCACAAAGTTGGAAGCACAGAATAGTCTAGAATGTCATTGTATGCTGAAGCGTCACGATTCCCCTCCACTGGAACTAAGGGGCCTAGCCCGAACCATGAAAAACTGCCCCACACCATTATTCCTCCTCCACCAAACTTTACAGTTGGCACTATGCATCCGCCAGATGGTGAAGCGTGATTCACTCCAGAGAACATGTTTCCACTGCTCCAGAGTCCAATGGCGGCGAGCTTTACACCACTCCAGCCGATGCTTGGCATTGCGCATGGTGATCTTCGGCTTGTGTGTGGCTGCTCGGCCATGGAAACCCATGTCATGAAGCTCCCGACGAACAGTTCTTGTGCTGACGTTGCTTACAGAGGCAGTTTGGAACTTGGTAGTGAGTGTTGCAACCGATGACAGACGATTTTTACGCGCTATGTGCTTCAGCACTCGGCGGTCCCGTTCTGTGAGCTTGTGTGGCCTACCACTTCGTGGCTGAGCTGTTGTTGCTCCTAGACGTTTCCACAATAACAGCACTTACAGTTGACAGGGGCAGCTCAAGCAGGGCATAAATTCGACAAAGTGACTTGTTGGAAAGGTGCCATCCTATGAAGGTGCCACGTTGAAAGTCACTGAGCTCTTCAGTAAGGCCATTCTACTGCCAATGTTTGTCTATGGCGGTTGCATGGCTGTGTGCTCAATTTTATACACCTGTTAGCAACGGGTGTGGCTGAAATAGCAGAACCCACAAATTTGAAGGAGTTTCCACATATCCATTGTATATACAATGCATTCGGAAAGTATGTTACGTTAAAGCCTTATTTAACGTATACCCCATAATGACGAAGCAAAAAAATTGAAATATAAAAGTGGCATAAGTATTCAGACCCTTTACTCAGTACTTTGTTGAAGCACCTTTGGCATCGATTACAGCCTTGAGTCTTCTTGGGTATGACGCTACAAGCTTGGCACACCTGTATTTGGAGAGTTTCTCCCATTCTTCTCTGCAGATTCTTTTAAACTCTGTCAGGTTGGATGGGGTGCGTCGCTGCAAAGCTATTTTCAGGTCTCTCCAGAGATGTTCGATCGGGTTCAAGTCCGGGCTCTGGCTGGGCCACTCAAGGACATTCAGAGACTTGTCCAGAAGCCACTCCTGCGTTGTATTGGCTGTGTGCTTAGGGTTGTTGTCCTGTTGGAAGGTGAATCCTCGCCCCAGTCTGAGGTCCTGAGTGCTCTGGAGGAGGTTATCAAGGGTCTCTCTGTACTTTGCGCTGTTCGTCTTTCCCTCGATCCTGACTAGTCTCCCAGTCCCTGCCGCTGAAAAACATCCCCACATCACACCAGATAATCTTGTTTCTCATGGTCAGAGTCCTTTAGGTGCCTTTTGGCAAACTCCAAGCGGGCTGTCATGTGCCTTTTACTGAGGAGTGGCTTCCGCCTGATTGGTGGAGTGCTGCAGAGATGGTTGTCCTTCTGGAAGTTTCTCCCATCTCCACAGAGGAACTCTGTCCGAGTAACCATCTGGTTATTTTTTATTGAATTTATTTATTACCCCCTTTATCTCCCCAATTTCGTGATATTCAACTGCGATCTTGTCTCATCGCTGCAACTCCCCAATGGGCTCGGGAGAGGCGAAAGTCGAATCATGCATCCTCCGAAACATGACCCGCCAAAACGCGCTTCTTAACACCCACCTGGAAGCCAGATGCACCAATGTGTCGGGAGGAAACACCATTCACCTGACGACCGAAGTCAGCCTGCAGGTGCCCGGCCCGCCACATGGAGTCGCTAGAGCACGATGAGCCAAGTAAAGCTCCCCCCGGCCAAACCCTCCCCTAACCCGGACGACGCTGGGCTAATTGTGCACCACCCTGTGGGACTCCCGGTCGGTTGTGACACAGCCTGGGATTGAACCCGGGTCTGTAGTGACGCCTCAAGCAATGCAATGCAGTGCCTTAGACCGCTGCGCCACTCGGGAGGCCGACCATCGGGTTCTTGGTCACCTCCCTGACAAAGGCCCTTCTCCCCCGATTGCTCAGTTTGGCCGGGCGGCCAGCTCTAGGAAGAGTCTTGGTGGTTCCAAACTTCTTCCATTTAAGAATGATGGAGGCCACTATGTTCTTGGGGACCTTCAATGCTACAGCAATGTTTTGGTACCCTTCCCCAGATCTGTGCCTCGACACATAAATGTGCAAAAATTTCTAAAAAACGTTTTTCGTTTGTGTAGAAAGATGAGGGGAAAAAATAATTTCATACATTTTGGAATAAGGCTGTAACGTAACAAAATTTTGAAAAAGTCAAGGGGTCTGAATACTTCCCGAAAGCACTGTATCTAGCCCAATAACACCAATAGCCTAAAATAAAAAACAGGCCAGGTGAGGATCTTTGGTATTTGAATCTATTTCTTAGGATCTGTTTGTGCATTTGATCTTGACTAGGCAAAATTCGCTGCGTCACATAAGTCTAAAATAAAATAATCACATGTTATTGGTCACATGCGACGAATACAACAGGTGGAGACCTCACAGTGAAAGGCTTACTGACAAGCCCTTAACACTTATTTTTTCTTAACTGCATTGTTGGTTAAGTATTTACTAAATAAACAAATAAAAATGAAAACAGAAAAATAACAAATAATTAAAGAGCAACAATAAAATAACATGGGCTGGAAGTAGAGGCCTAAGCGTTGTTGTTCACTAGTTTACTCCAATTGGGGAAGGGGGTGGTGGGGTTGGAAAGTAATGAAGGGAAATTTATTTTTAAAAGAATGTGTGTGTGTGTGTGTGTGTGTGTGTGTGTGTGTGTGTGTGTGTGTATATATATATATGCGAGAAAAAAAAAACATGGGGGTTTGGAAGTGATGCAGACAATTACATTGATGGAAGTTACAATCTGAAATATTAAAGCGGATCTACCCCCATAAAAAACTATTTTATTTATTTTTTTACAATAAAATAACAGTAATGAGGCTATATATAGGGGGTACCGGTACAGAGTCAATGTGCGGGGGTACAGGTTAGTCGAGGTAATATGTACATGTAGGTAGAGGTAAAGTGACTATGCATAGATAATTAGCTGTTCAGGAGTCTTATGGCTTGAGGGTAGAAGCTGTTGAGAAGCCTTTTGGACCTAGACTTGGCGCTCCGGTACCGCTTGCCGTGCGGTAGCAGAGAGAACAGTCTATGACTAGGGTGACTGGAGTCTTTGACCATTTTTTGGGTCTTCCTCTGACACCGCCTGGTATAGAGGTCCTGGATGGCAGGAAGCTTGGCCCCAGTGATGTACTGGGCCGTACGCACTACCCTCTGTAGTGCCATGCGGTCGGAGGCCGAGCAGTTGCCATACCAGGCTGTGGTGCAACCAGTCAGGATGCTCTCGATGGTGCAGCTGTAGAACCTTTTGAGGATCTGGGGACACATGCCAAATCTTTTCAGTCTCCTGAGGGCGAAAATGTGTTTTCGTGCCCTCTTCATGACTGTCTTGGTGTGTTTGGACCATGATAGTTTGTTGGTGATGTGGACACCAAGGAGCTTGAAACTCTCGACCCGCTCCACTACAGCCCCGTCGATGAGAATGGGGGTGTGCTCGGTCCTCCTTTTCCTGTAGTCCACGATCATCTCCTTTGTCTTGATCATGTTGAGGGAGAGGTTGTTATCCTGGCACCACACTGCCAGGTCTCTGATCTCCTCCCTATAGGCTGTCTCATCGTTGTTGGTGATCAGGCCTACCACCGTTGTGTCGTCAGCAAACTTAATGATGGTGTTGGAGTCGTGCTTGTGGGGAATGTATGGGTTTCTGGGCTGCATGTTATTTGACTCCTTCACATGTTTATAGTCCTCATACTATTTGGCAAAATGATTGACCCATAGGAAATAGGCTACACAGCATGATTATTAAACTACAAATGTTAATTCAGTAATCCACTCCTGAAGTCACCTGACCCCAATCATATGACCTCGAGACACATAACTGATTGGCCTATATCATATAGATAGATATACATTGTTTTGCCCCGACCTCTGACCTCTGCTGACCTCTGCTGAAATCATTTGAACCCTTTGAGACAAGATACACACAGTATGAGTGATGACTATTAAAATACACAAGTTAGACATACAGTACCAGTCAAAAGTTGGGATAAACCTACTAATTCAAGGGTTTTTCTTAATTTTCTACATTGTAGAATATTTGTGAAGACATCAAAACTTGAGACACAATGACCCAACACACCTCCAGGCTGTGTAAGGGCTATTTAACCAAGGAGTGATGGAGTGCTGCATCAGATGACCTGGCCTCCACAATCCCCCGACCTCAACCCAATTGAGATGGTTTGGGATGAGTCGGACGGCAGAGTGAAGGAAAAGCAGCCAACAAGTGCTCAGCATATGTGGGAACTCCTTCAAGACTGTTGGAAAAGCATTCCTCATGAAGCTGGTTGAGAGAATGCCAAGAGTGTGCAAAGCTGTCATCAAGGCAAAGGGTGGCTACTTGAAGAATCTCAAATATAAAATATTTGTTTAACACTTTTTTGGTTACTACATGATTCCATATGTGGTATTTCATAGTTTTGATGTCTTCACTATTATTCTACAATGTAGAAAATAGTTTAATTTTTTATTTTATTTTATTTAACTGGAATGAGTAGGTGTGTTCAAACTTTTGACTGGTACTGTACAATGAGAACACTCAAAAAAGAATATAATTTGGTATTTATTAGGATCCCCATTAGCCACTGCAAAAGCATCAGCTGCTCTTCCTGGGGGTCCACATAGTCAGACTAGAATCCCAGTGTTATGGGCCTAGTTCTGCTTTAGATAGAACAGTAAATCTCAGGGTTAGGCCTAGTTCTGCTTTAGATGGAGCGGTGAATCCCAGGGTTAGGCCTAGTTCTGCTTTAGATAAAGACACTGGGATTAACTGCTCTGTCTGTCTTTTGACTTCTGTTTAACACTTAGTTCCTAATTACAGAAGCAGCTTGCAGTATCTGACAATGCTCGCATTACTCCTGGAAATACTACAAGAGCAGTGTGACCTGGCTTTTGTCCCAGCCCAAAACTTTACAAGCCGATTCAACTTCTCATTAAAGACCATGATTAGAAGAGTCAGTGTAGTACTATGAATGGACAGCCATGAATAACTCATTTCCACAAGACTGTGACTCACAGCCCTGAGAAATACGTAAATAACCTACAGGCTAGTACTAGGCCTCGTGCCCAGCATGAAAATGCCAGAATGAAAAGGTGCACTATGCAGAAATCGTTCCGCCACTTCCTGGTTGCTAAAATTCTAAAAAGTTTGCCTAATTTCAGTTTGTGACAAAACAAACAAGTGTAGAGAATCATTGTACCATCTAAAAAATATTTATTTTTCATAACCCAAAATATTGTATTTAAGTGTTTGAAGCTGGTGTACAAAACCAAACTTAAGACCAGGAAGCATATAAAAAGCTCACAGAACAGTTCTACAGCTTTTTAATAATAATAATAATAATAATAATAAGCCATTTAGCAGACGCTTTTATCCAAAGCGACTTACAGTCGTGCGTGCATACATTTTTTGTGTATGGGTGGTCCCGGGGATCGAACCCACTACCTTGGCGTTACAAGCGCCGTGCTCTACCAGCTGAGCTACAGAGGACCTTAGACTTCCTTTCAATAAGAATGACAGATCTATAACAAACATGTCAATGTTTGGGCTCCCAAGCAGCGCAGCTGTCAGTGCTTGAGGCGTCACTACAGATCCTGGTTAGATTCCAGGCTGTATCACAATCCAGCTGTGATTGGGAGTCCCATAGGGCGGTGCACAATTGGCCCAGCGTCGTCCGGGTTTGGCCGGAGTAGGCCGTCATTGTAAATATGTGGTCCTCTGTAGCTCAGCTGGTAGAGCACGACTCTTGTAACGCCAAGGTAGTGGGTTCGATCCCCGGGACCACCCATACACAACAAAAAACAAAATTATGCACGCATGACTGTAAGTCGCTTTGGATAAAAGCGTCTGCTAAATGGCATATTATTATAAATAAAAATGTGTTCTTAACTGACTTGCCTAGTTAAATAAAAGGTAAAAAATAAATAAAATAATGTGAATTTGGTCAGGTCACCCAAAACGTTACATACTGCAGCTTTAAAGGGCAAACAGGCATAAGCCTAGTGTCCTATGAACAAAATACGAGGGAGCTAAAAGGATGTATGAAGAGAGGAGAGGTTAGTGTACTTACTGCAGGTATGACTGCCAGTTGACCTTGTTGGCTCGGACCTCAGCTGCCTTGGCAGCGATGATGTTGGTGGGCACTGCAGCGTCCACTGCCCCGCGGATATCCATCCTGATACAGCTGTAGGATACCTCTCTGGACAAGAATCAATAACTACCTGGAAGGAGGGAGACAGGTGGGTTTGATTGATAAATAATACCCAATCTCAAATCAACACGTTATTTGGCCACACACAAACATAGAGATTTTGCATCATTCATTTCTCATAGCCTAATTCTGCAGGTGAGAGCAGTTTGTTAAAGCATATACATTATGGTGCCAGCCAGGAATTCATGACCAACTCTGTAACCAGATCAGATGCTAATCTGTTCATCACCATCAGCTGCTTTAGATAACGTCACCCAGTAAGCTAGCTAGCTAGCCAGCCCAACTCAGCTCATGGCTAGCAAACTTGGCCAATGTAATGCAATGTCATGTTGGTGCAGTAACGTTATTGACATAACATATGTATTATTTGGTTACAACGACAGCACTTGTCAACGAATCCCGAAATTAGCGTTGTTACTTAATGGGTTTAAGTCGTTTCTCGCCAGCTAAAACTAGCTAACTGGCTATGGTGCAAGCTACCTAACGATAGCTAGTTTAACTTAGCATCAATGCAAAGATATATCCTAACGATATAACACACAATACAGAACCTGTAATCTCATAGAAACATCCCAATACAATATTCCTACCGTTTAAACAAGCCAAAGAGAGCCTTAATGTCTGTGGTTTCAAAAGGCCGTTGGTCTCTCCGCAAACAACTACGACGTGATGCTGTCACGCGCCAGCAGGAAGCAGCTCGCTGTAGATCCGGTCAGGAAGCAGCCCAAACATCATCAGTCCTCGGCCCTAAACACTCTTCTTCTGTGGGTTTTATGGCGGACTACATCCAAAAGTTGTATTGCCGCCACCAACTGGACGGTTTGAAACCAAAATGTATTTACTGTGGCGTACAGCAGGTCAGCCACCAGGGGGAGACTCGTCAAGGCCTGGTAACAGATGGAGTATACATCAGGAGGCCGTGGCTCCATCTGCTGGACGGGCCAGGTCTCGACGGGCTCCCCGGACAGGACTAACTGGGGCTGATTGGGAGCTGGGGAGTAATTAAGGGCGGATTGCTCAAGGCCCATAAAGCGGCCAGAAGGGCAGCACATGAGAGAGGACTGGGGGAAGTAAGGTAACGTCTGTGTAGGTGGAGACGGTATCCTGGAGAGGATATCATGGAGGAGGACTGGGGGAAGTAAGGTAACGTCTGTGTAGGTGGAGACGGGATCCTGGAGAGGATATCATGGAGGAGGACTGGGGGAAGTAAGGTAACGTCTGTGTAGGTGGAGACGGTATCCTGGAGAGGATATCATGGAGGAGGACTGGGGGAAGTAAGGTAACGTCTGTGTAGGTGGAGACGGGATCCTGGAGAGGATATCATGGAGGAGGACTGGGGGAAGTAAGGTAACGTCTGTGTAGGTGGAGACGGTATCCTGGAGAGGATATCATGGAGGAGGACTGGGGGAAGTAAGGTAACGTCTGTGTAGGTGGAGACGGTATCCTGGAGAGGATATCATGGAGGAGGACTGGGGGAAGTAAGGTAACGTCTGTGTAGGTGGAGACGGTATCCTGGAGAGGATATCATGGAGGAGGACTGGGGGAAGTAAGGTAACGTCTGTGTAGGTGGAGACGGTATCCTGGAGAGGATATCATGGAGGAGGACTGGGGGAAGTAAGGTAACGTCTGTGTAGGTGGAGACGGGATCCTGGAGAGGATATCATGGAGGAGGACTGGGGGGAAGTAAGGTAACGTCTGTGTAGGTGGAGACGGTATCCTGGAGAGGATATCATGGAGGAGGACTGGGGGAAGTAAGGTAACGTCTGTGTAGGTGGAGACGGTATCCTGGAGAGGATATCATGGAGGAGGACTGGGGGAAGTAAGGTAACGTCTGTGTAGGTGGAGACGGTATCCTGGAGAGGATATCATGGAGGAGGACTGGGGGAAGTAAGGTAACGTCTGTGTAGGTGGAGACGGTATCCTGGAGAGGATATCATGGAGGCGACCTAACCCTTTCTTTTGATTATTTTATTAATAAACACCCTTGAAACCGAGCTAATCATACTCTGGCCATGTCTGATCTGTGTTGAAACCAAGCTAATCACACTCTGGCCGTGTCTGATCTGTGTAAACGTCTTGACCCAACCCCCTGATCTGCCACATTACATACAGTTGAAGTCGGAAGTTTGCAAACACCTTAGCCAAATACATTTAAACTCAGTTGTTCACAATTCCTGACATTTAATCCTAGTAAGAATTGCCTGTCTTAGGTCAGTTAGGATCACCACTTTATTTTAAGAATGTGAAATGTCAAAATAATTGTAGAGAGAATGATTTATTTAAGATTTTATTTATTTCCTCACATTCCCAGTGGGTCAGAAGTTTACATACACTCAATTAGTATTTGGTAGCATTGCCTTTAAATTGTTTAACTTGGATCAAACGTTTCAGGTAGCCTTCCACAAGCTTCCCACAATAAGTTGGGTGAATTTTGGCCCATTCCTCCTGACAGAGCTGGTGTAACTGAGTCAGGTTTGTAGGCCTCCTTGCTCGCACACGCTTTTTTCGGTTCTGCCCACAAATGTTCTGTAGGATTGAGGTCAGGACTTTGTGATGGCCACTCCAATACCTTGACTTTGTTGTCCATAAGCCATTTTGCCACAACTTTGGAAGTATGCTTGGGGTCATTGTCCATTTGGAAGACCCATTTGCGACCAAGCTTTAACTTCCTGACTGATGTCTTGAGATGTGTATGTAAACTTCCGACTTCAACTGTAAGTATTCAGACCCTTTGCTATGAGACTCTAAATTGAGCTCAGGTGCATCCTGTTTCATCCTTGAGATGTTTCTACAACTTGATTGGAGTCCACCTGTGGTAAATTCAATTGATTGGACATGATTTGGAAAGGCACACACCTTTTATATAAGGTCCCACAGTTGACAGTGCATGTCAGAGCAAAAAACCAAGCCATGAGGTCGAAGAAATTGTCCGTAGAGCTCCGAGACAGAATTGTGTCGAGGCAGAGATCTGGGGAAGGGTACCAAAAAATATCTACAGCATTGAAGGTCCCCAAGAACACAGTGGCCTCCATCATTCTTAAATGGAAATAGTTTGGAACCACCAAGACTCTTCCTAGAGCTGGCCGCCCGGCCAAACTGAGCAATCGGGGGAGAAGGGCCTTGGTCAGGGAGGTGACCAAGAACCCAATGGTCACTCTGACAGAGCTCCAGAATTCCACTGTGGAGATGGGAGAACCTTCCAGAAGGACAACCATCTCTGCAGCACTCCACCAATAAGGCATTTATGGTATAGTGGCCAGACGGAAGCCACTCCTCAGTAAAAGACACATGACAGTCCGCTTGGAGTTTGCCAAAAGTCACCTAAAGGACTCTCAGACCATGAAAAACAAGATTATCTGGATACTTTGGCCTGAAAGCCATGCGTCATGTCTGGAGGAAATCTGGCACCATACCTACAGTGAAGCATGGTGATGATACGTCATCAGAAGTGTCCATTTAATTTGAGGGCTGAGGGGAGAGGGTGTGTGTTTTACACAGTGCTGCAATTACATTTTATTCTTGTCATGATAATCCAAATCTACGCTGACTGATCAACAGTGTGAAGTTACTTTTCAGTGTGTTCACAAAAATCAGAATTTGCCGTCCACATAAGTAGCCATGAGAGTGCACACGGTGCACCCAGTTAAAACAACATCATTATCGCAACCTGTGAGCAGTCAAAACGCCATGCTTACTAACTTGGTTAGAGCTAACTCTATAAATGACCGAACTGTATAAATGAGACTGTTTTCCACACATCAACTGTTTTAGATTATTTCCATTTAACCAAGCAAGATAAATAAGCGTTCAATCAGTAGTGAGTGACTTAACAACAAAAACATTGTGCAGTGAAAGCTTCCTGTCATCACTAGACTATTTAAACAGTGTCAAGTTGACATGTTTACAACAAGGTTCGTAGCGTAACGGTTAGCATCACCAAGGTTCGTAGCATAACGGTTAGCATCACCAAGGTTCGTAGCGTAACGGTTAGCATCACCGCCTTGGGAACTGAAGATTCTCTCCCTTTTTATCTCTGAGCTAGGCTGATCTCCAACGACTCATAAAACGATTACTCATCACCATACAAAACAATGCTGGCTATATAGATTTGTCTGATATAGCTCAGTTTAAATAGTTAGCAGGTCTGAACTGATGTGGCGTAGGCTACTAGTTAGCAGCTAGGCCTATATGTGGGCCTAGTAAGTCTATATGATTTTTTTGTTACAGGCCAGAATCATCTTATTGAAGAAGAACGTTCAACGACTTAGCTGAGCCTGTACGTTAAACACAGACAGTAGATATATGTTAGCAGTAAGTCCTAGACTGCTAACTAGTACGCTAACAGACCAGTGGTGAGTGACTGATAATGAGTGAGTGACAAAACATTAGCCTATGCTATTAACACAGCATCGCAACGTTAGCTGTCATGCAGACTGAAATTATGTTTGATCCGTTTTAAATTAAATTGACAATTCGGCTGCCACCTTACTGATTTGCTGGTATTATAATACAGTGGGGAGAAAAAGTTTTTGATACGCTGCCGATTTTGCAGGTTTTCCTACTTACAAAGCATGTAGAGGTCTGTCATTTTTATCATAGGTACACTTCAACTGTGAGAGACGGAATCTAAAACAAAAATCCAGAAAATCACATTGTATGATTTTTAAAGTAATTAATTTGCATTTTATTGCATGACATAAGTATTTGATCACCTACCAACCAGTAAGAATTCCGGCTCTCACAGACCTGTTAGTTTTTCTTTAAGAAGCCCTCCTGTTCTCCACTCATTACCTGTATTAACTGCACCTGTTTGAACTCGTTACCTGTATAAAAGACACCTGTCCACACACTCAATAAAACAGACTCCAACCTCTCCACAATGGCCAAGACCAGAGAGCTGTGTAAGGACATCAGGGATAAAATTGTAGACCTGCACAAGGCTGGGATGGGCTACAGGACAATA